CGCCTCCAGCGCCGCCCCTGGCGCGCTGCTCGCGCCAGCGAGGGGGGGCCCAACGCAGATCCGAGAAGTCCGCGCGCACTTCGGAAAGCCTATGTATGAGCCGCTTCTTGTTCCTCCCTTCGTCTTCTTATCTCCCCTATGTCGTCGGGCCGCGGTGGGTCCATGCCGGATGACCGCCTTGAGGCCGAGGCGTTGCCGTGCACTCTGGGAGGCGCCACTCGCCTTTGGGATCCCTGCCTTCGTGGTGGCGCAGGAAGCATCTGGCGCGTCGGGGTCCACGGAAGGCACTGGCGGCAGCTTCTGCGTGTCGGTTCCGGTTCCGCTGTGCGTCTGTCGGTCGGTGTTCGCTTGTGCCCGAGGACGGTCCTGTGCTAGCGCGGTCGCTGTAGGACCAACAGAGCCGGGACGACGACCAGCAGCAAGTTTTTGTTTTTGCTTCCTCCTCCTGGAAGGAGGAGGAGGAGTAGGAGGAGGTGGAGGATCAGGAGGAGGAGGAGGACGAGGAGGAGGAGGAGGAGGAGGACGAGGAGGATCAGGAGGATCAGGAGGAGGAGGAGGAGGAGGGTCAGGATCAGGAGGAGGAGGACGAGGAGGAGGAGGATCAGGATCAGGAGGAGGAGGAGGAGGAGGAGGAGGAGCGACTGTCGGTGTCGCCGCGGGCCTTTCCACTGGGCGAGCGGCCGCCAGCTCCACCGCGGCCGATGTGTGTCGGTGCTGTGCACGAGAGCTCGGTGTGCGGCGTCGCCTCGGTGTCTGTCCCGCCCACGCGAGGCAGTCCGGGAAGGTTCACCTCTTCCTCCTCCTCCTCCTCCTCCACCTCTTCCTCCACCTCCTCCACCTCTTCCTCCTCCTCCTCCTCCTCCTCCTCCTCCTCCTCCTCCTCCACCTCTTTCTTCCTCCTCCTCCGCCCGATCTCCGACCAGTTCAGGAAGAACGCCGCGGCCGTGGCCGCCCGTGCCGCGTTGCCGCGGGGGCAGACCCCACGGCGGGCGCTCATGGTCGAGCGACGGCAGTGCTCCGCAATAGGCCCGCATCGACCGATCCGCGCGGTGGGAGAGACACGGTCGTGCAAGGTCGGGCGGGGCCCGCGCAGGGTGAGGAGCGAAGGCCGAAGGCGTCGCGACACTAGCCTGCCGTAGACACCACCCTTGTCCCTGGCCAGGGCCATCCTGGTCGAGGCGAAGGATCAAGGATCGAGGGGGATCGGGAAGGAGGTGCACCGTGGTCGAGAAGGAGGATCGATGCTTGAGGCCTTACGCATCGCGCAGGGGCCAACGGAGGCGCAGCATTCGCCGTCTGCCCACCAGGTTGCACCGCCGCTCCCTCGCCTCCGCCAGCCGCGGGCGCGGGCGAGCCGAGCAAGACCGCCGCCGCCGCCTGCAGGAACCCTTCGGCCGCCCACACCAGGCGGAGAGCCTCCCGGCCCTCGCATGCCTACAGTGCCGTTTTTTAATGCATGCTCCGCGTGCGGATCATGTGTTAACAAAGCAAGGGTTTAGTATTAAAAACAACGATGAGTTCATGCATAAATTTATTCCTAAATTCATCATGTATGAATATCCCATACGTTTTAAAACATCCGATGTATCAAAAACTACCCTGTAAAGACCCGCGACGGCGCCCGCGGCGCGTGGCACACGGCGGCGAGGGCCGCTGGGCGATGCGAGCCAGAGCCAAAATGGCTAGCAGGGAGTGGAGGAGGTGCGGTAGGACGAGAGCGGTGGGGGAGTAGGCTGGGCAGGGAGGAAGAGGAGGAGGAGGAGGACGGAAAGGAGAAGGAGGAAGAGGAGAAGGAGGAGGAGGAGAAGGTGGAGGAGCAACGATGGGCAGGAAAGGATGAGGAAGGGGTGGCCGAGTAGGAGGGGCAGCACCAGGAGCAGGAGGAAGGAGGAAGGAGGGGCAGGGGAGGATGGGGCGGGGGTGGGGCAGCACGGGGAGCAGGAGGCAGGAGAGGCAGGGGGCGACCAGAGCCAGTGCTCGTTCGAATGCAAGTTTCACGTGTGTCTCCCTAAGTTCTAGCAGTGACCAAGACGCCCCCCAGCGTGAGCAGAGGATGGCAGCCTCAGTAGCCATGATCAGGGCCACAGATGCGATGAGTTTGATGGCACAACCAGCTTCAATGCCCAGTGTTTTGTGCGTTCACGCTCCGACCTCTTCCGAGGCGCTGTCTTATCATATCTGATCTTGTCCTCGCGCCCCGCATCGTGGGACCTGCCACGCCCTGGCTCCCCATCCTGCCCTCCCCAGACATGCGATGTCCTGATTCTGTCAGGACGGCGTCCCCGGAAGTCCGGACCCTTTCCCCGGGGCCGGCTTTTCATCCCCGAGTCGTTTGTTGACCGGCCCCGAGGCTCGGCGAGGGCCCCTCGGGGCCGAACTTTGCGAAACGCCTCCGTCGTGAGCTTGTCGATGCGCTGGACCTCTGGGAAAGTCGTGCCCTGCTGGCGGCCAGGGCCCCGCTGGCGGAGGGGCCGCGGCGACGGTGCCGCCCTTCGACTTCTGAGGGATCGCCCGCAGGGCGGCGGCGGCGCCTGCGGCCAGCATTGCGCCCTGGCGCGAAGCGGCAGCGGGGAACGGGAGAGGAGGAGGAGGAGGAGGAGGAGGAGGAGGAGGAGGAGGAGGAGGAGGAGGAGGAGGAGGAGGAGGAGGAGGGGGAGGAGGGGGAGGAGGAGAAGGAGGAGGAGGAGGAGGAGGAGGAGGCGGAGGAGGAGGAGGAGGAGGAGGAGGAGATACGAAGACCGACAGCAGTGCCTGCACACTCTGGACCGGGCTCGCTGTCGGTGTCGCACGCGGGCGCTGTCCACTTGAGGCGAGAGGCCGCCTGTCCAACAGAGGCCGCCGTCGGCATTGGGCAACATTTGCTGCGGGGCATCGTGCCGGTGTTTTCTGTACCCCCTCGCGGGCGCCCAAGGTGGAGGCGGGTGGCGAAGGAAGCGTCTTGCAGCGTGGGGCGCACCGGAGAGGGCCCCTCCGTCGAGGCATCGACGGGGCCCGCTTCTCTGCCTCGGCGGAGGGCCAGCGGGAGTGAAGCGGGGGCGGCTCCGCCGGCGGAAGCCAGCAGGAGCAGGAGGTTTGGCCTCCAAGAGATGCACGCACACACACTTGTTCTGCGCAGGGCTTCCAGGAAGAGCTAGCTGGCACGGGGGTTCGGACCAACTGCTGCGGCCAGGAGCTGTGGCTCAGCGGGTCGTTCTGGCGGCTCTGGCCCGCCATGCGTGGGCGTGACACGATATTCACGTCCCACTCCACGAGCGTCAGGTCTCCAGATTTCCCCAGCCACCGCCGTGCGGCGCGGAATGACACGCTATCTGCTTGCAGGGCATAGCGTGTCGCCGGGGTTCCCGCCGTGACACGCTGAGCAGAAGTCCCCGACCGTGTGGTCTTAATGGTTCTGGTGTTCTCTTTCGGAGTGCAGCGCCGACCCAAGTGTAGTTGCGGGCTGTGCTCTGATTACGCTAGCCACGTCGGACAAGAGAGAACACCTGCCAGCAGGTGCCCTGCGGAACTGTCTTGTCCCCCTACCGTCCCTTGGAGTTCACGGAAGACTTGGGACACCTCGGTTTAATTTGGCATCGTTCTCACGTGTTGTTGTTCCTCGGTGACGACCATCGAGGTGCACCTTGGGTCATCCTGCGAAAATGCCGAAACCGAGCAATGCACAGAAAATGGACGTCCGAGCGATGGCGAGTTGAGGACAGACGGCGAAGCGCAGAGCGGAAACCGTTCCGAGGGAAGATCTACTGCGACCTCGCGGTGGCGCAGCCGCGCAGGCACTAAGAGGGCCCCAAGGAGAGCCCGCAGATAGGCTCAAGCTGAAGTCGGGCCTGTCTATCTACAGGGGAATATTCAAACATAGTCAACACAAATTGTTTGGGGACTATTGTTTGACCATTTTGGTTATTTTTTGGAGTATTTTTGGGGGTATCTTTTATTTGTCTTCCAAGATCCCCCTGTAGGGGGACATGCCCGACCTAAGCTTAAGCTGGCCCCACGAGGGCCCCCAACCCGTTGCAGAAGGCCCCGCAGGGCAAGCCCAGGAGGCCTCAAGAGGCCGCATGGGAGCGCTCGAGGGGCCCAAGGGAGCGGCCGCAGGAGCCTCGAAGGGAAACCCGTGGCAACGGCAGCAGTGATCATCAGTGGTACCCAGTAGGAGAACGTACTAGTAAGTCGGGCCCGTCCCTCCACATGGGGGATATCCAAAAATAGCGGAAAAAAATTAGGGACTGATGTTTGAGTATGGTTTGACCATGTTGTTTTGGAGTATTTTCTTATGTTTCGTCGAAGATCCCCCTGTAGGGGGACAGGCCCGACCTAAACGTAGTATGAGCAGGCCTCAACACACCACAGCACGTAGCAGCAGCAAATGGTAGGAATCAGCAGTAGCTAGCAGCAGCGGTCAGCATCAGACAGCAGAACACGTCACCAAAGAGCGGCAGTCTGCAGCCGGCAACACAAAGCAGGACCAGTCACTGGCAAGCAGCAGCAGTTGGCAGCAACCGGCACCAATCAGCAGAGGGCAGCAGCCTGAATGCTCCACCCTGGGCCTTCCTGTGACTATCCCAGGGCTGGGAGCTGTCGACAACAATCGTAATCAGAAGCGAGCTGAAGTATGGTCAGGATCTGCTGCTGAGCGTGTGGCGCAGCAGTTTCTGGCCCACCACGCTCAGGCACGCCTCTCGAAACTACTCCCAGTCCCAAGCGTCAGAGTCCCGAGACTTTCCCAGCCTCCCGCCGGACGGAGCCGAGCGACACGCAATCTGCTTGCGGGACATCTTGTGTCGCCAGGGCCGCCGCGGCGACACGGTGAGCACGAGTTCCTCAACGCATCTACCAACAGTGTGTGTGTGTGTGTGCATTTGCTCGCCGATCGCGCTCTGGCCCTGCGCGCTTGGCTGCTGCTGCCCGCTGGCTTCCCATCGTCAAAGTATTCGGCGTCTGAGCGTCCCTCCTTCCTCTTGGCCTCCCTCCTCATTTCTTTCAAGGTTCCACGTGCACATGGGGTCGAAAACTATGGACACCAGCGCCAGGCTCCTTCCTGACCGCGACCGTATGCAATGCAGTTCAGGCAGCGATGTATTGCCGTGGGCGAGGCAGCTCAGCCATAGGCCGAGCCAGCTCATGGGCAGGCGGGTTTTGGCAAGGCTGAGCGCGCCTAGAGCGTGATTTTTCACAGTGCAGCGAGGTCACTGGATCCTCCTGAGGTGTTGCCAGAAGTGACCATGGTCCACGGTGCTCCTGGCGTTTCGCTCCTTCTCGGAGTTCCTGGAGCCCCTTTGGGCCTCGACAGGGATGAGCTGGAGTGAGCGGGCGAATGACGGTATACAATCAGTTTGTCGGTCACCAAGGGCGCCTGTCCCAGGGCGGCTGGGATGCCCTGACGTGCCACCGAAGGGGTACACATTTTCCAGCCGCCCTGGGACAGGCGCCCCCGACGGCGAACAAGTTGATTGGATACAGATATTTGCCCGTTGATGGATCAGCGGCGAGCGAGGAGGGGAAGTGAGAGGAGAAGGTCTTCTCAGAAGGCACTGGGACTTCTCAGATGCCTTCGCGCCTTCTGAGAAGTTGTTGGGGTCTTCGGGGAAGGCTTCGGAAACTTAGAAGAAGGCCGAGGGACGTCCGAGCCTTCTGAGGAGGTTTTTTCCTTTTCCACTCCCCCCGCTCGACGCCAAGCTCTTTGCCTATCAATGGAGGCCGAGGGGGCCTCCTTAGAACTCCGGGGGCCGTCGCGGAACAGGGGCACCTCTGGCAACACCTGGCCCCGACACAGATTGCAAATTGGCTGGTCGTGCAGGGCTGGTGCCTGCGCCCGATGCCGTTCCTTTCCTCCCGGCCCCATTGTTGTCCGCGTTCCTCCTCCTCCTCCTCCTCCTCCTCCTCCTCCTGCTCCTCATCCTTCTCCTCATCTGCTGGAGCCGCTCTGGCTGAAGCCATTTTGACTCGAGTGGCCATGTCGGGACGCCCCCCGTGTTCGAGCAGATCTGCTGACCCTTTTCACCGGGGCCCGTACAGACGGCTGCCCAAAAAAGGGTGGCCCTCCATTTTCGGAGCGCATATTCGGGCATGTCGCCCTCCACCCTCAGTCTGCATAGCGCACCCTCCTTTTTTTTCGCAGGCCCGACACGGCCTGCTGCAGCCATTCTCTCAGCCGGCCAGCAGAAGTCCATTGGACAAGCGATTTCGGATGCGATGACAGTTGCGCAGACCTCGATCACAGAGCAAATGAACTCGAGGTTTGCGTTGGTCAACGCGTCGATCCAGCAGCAGAACACCACAGTCACTGCCGTGCATGCGTCCATCGCGCAGATCAGCACTCAGATGAACACTTTGACGGAGCAGCATACCGCCATGGGAGCGGAGTTGGCCGCGCTGCAAGTGATTGCGTCAATTGCGCTTACAACCTTGGTTCCGTCGGCGAACGGCAGCACGGCGAGCGGAACCGTCTCCTCGGTGATCGTCTCGGAGAGAGGCCACTGCCGTCGAGGCCATGATGCGATCCCCGGCTCGAGCGCCTGCGTCAAGTTCATCGGCACAGACCTTCGGCCAGTATTGAAGGTGGTGCGCCAGGCGCACTGGGGCCAGCTCCAGGCGCCGTTCCCGCAATACGCGTCGGACGGCGTGACGCCCGAGCTGCACAGCGTCAGCCAAACGTACGGCTCAAATGTCCAGTCTGCGGCGGCGGCAGGGGCCTTCGCTGACAAGTGCAGCCAGGTCGGCATGACGTGGGCCGGCCCACGCGACTGCACACGCCAGGTCCTCAGCATGTGCTATGACCTGCCTGCGGACGTCTTCCAAGACGACAAGGGAGGGCCTCCCACGGGCGCTGGACACCGGTGCCGACTTTGCTTGCCCGCCCGCCACGCTGGGGTGAATCAGGTCGCCTGGGGGTCGTCGGATTCGAGGGAGTACTCCGCTTGACGATGCCTGACGATTGCTGGACCCTCGTCACCAGCTAAAAGGCCACCCTCCAAGATGGCGTCGAGAGCTGCACCTTCCAGCCGAACGCAGTCGAGTGCGAGTCTTGGGGCATCACCCGCGATGAGATCCGCCAGGTCATCGAAGAGGGCTTACAGAGGACCCGCTGCGCCATGCACACCTATGGAATTATACCCCAGGACGTCATGGGAGTGCGCTGCTACGGATTCGGCGACATTGGGGTCGCCGTTTCTGCGTTCATCTGACTCGCCGCTGCCTGCCTCTGCGTCTCACCGATCGCTCGAGCTCGGTCCTGGGGAGGTGTCCCATGCCCGTTGGCCCCTCGTGCGTTCTTCAAATTCCTCTGGAGCTGTTCCTGACGCTGCTGTCGTTCCTCCCTCTGCGCCTGTCCCTCGAAAAAGCAAACAGTGGAAACAAAAGCACAGTGTGGAGAAACACTGTTTTTTTTCCAGCTGTATTTTGTGTGTGTGTGTTTGCATGTTCGTCTCTCATCGTCTCTCTTCCTGCCGTCGTCAGCCTCCCCCCTTCTCCATTTGCAGCTGGAGCGCCAGGCCTCGCGTCTGTTCCCAGGGCTCTAGTAACCAGCGAAGTCAGAGTAAGTTCTCCTCCGGAGAGCATGTCCTTGCTAAGCACAGCGCTGTGTGTGTGTGTGTGTTCAGGATGCTTCAGGACGATTCCCGGTCGTTCGTATGTGAGGCTCGTTCCTGGACTCTGGCATCGGTGGCGGAATACTGATCAAAGTCAAGGGAGCGCTAACTCGGCAGTTCACTAGCCTTCAATTTGAACAGCTTGTGCACGGCAGAATGGCACTGCTTACCATGAGGAAAACGGCCCAAGTGCTGCAAGTGGCCAACGTCCACATCGACCCTGGTTGAGCGGAGACGTTCACGAAACGCGCTTTCGAGCTGCTGCGACCCTTCCTCCTCCCCTTGCCTTTAGCATCAACGTTCGTTGCCGGGGATTCCAACTACGTTGAAGACGGTGATTCCTTTCTAGTGGGTCGTGGGATTTTTACGACATCTCGTCTAGCCGCTATGTTCGACCAGCTCTTCCCGCTCTGCCCAGGGGTATATCAACCACACATGGCACATCGTGCTGTCATGGGCGCGATTCCGAATTCCGCTCGCCTCGATCGCATCTACGCCAACATTCCCAGCGCCACCCGTTTCGACTTCGCCCTTGCCTCGTCGATTGCCTGGCCGATCTCGAAGCTTAAGCGTCCATGCGCGGCCAGTCCATCCCCGAGGATTTCTCTAGGATTTGGATGATCGTCTCAAGAAGTCGGAAACTCTTCCCATCGCGCTCCAAACCAAGTTAATATTCCACGTTCTACACGTTTGTTGCGACGATGATTTTGGAAAAGTTCTAAGTCTTCGCGTGCTCCGCTGTGTTCGCACCCGGGAGATTTAGGCGTGACATGCTCGCGGTTCGCGCTGCCGGCAATTGGCGCGTGTTCATTGCCGAACAAAGCACAAAGTACCTTGGCCGACAATTAAAACTACACGACTACCGCTGCACTCAGCTCTCCAACATATTTGCCGTGGGGTGGCAGAAGTTCCACCAACTCCGCGACGAGCTGACAAGCAAACGGTCCCTTTTGCACATCAGACCTCGGCTTTCCAATTGCACAGTAGCGCCAAGCGTGCTGCACGGCTTCATCGCGTGGACACTCACCAAAGACATGCTCCTGACACTGCGTCGCTCCTAACGACGCAAGCTACGACTCATCGGCAACACACCCAGACGACGATCACCAGCAAGACACAGCACCGACACCGGTAGCGATGCCAACCCCGATCTCGAACAGCACGACGACAGCGCGAGCTCGAGCGACACCGCGAGCACCAACAACACCACAACACAAACTCACAACAACACCGTCGCAGACGATTCCGACCTAGAACTTTGCGGGGATTTTATTCGCAAAGTTGCCCGTGCAGCTACGGATCTCGCGACACGCTTCAAAGTAGACGACTGGGCGCCCCTCTACCACGAGCGTGCATGGCGATGGGCAGGGCGAATCGCAACGCATTCGCGCCTCAGATGGACGAGACTGGCTGCGGCGTGGGAGCCCGATCTTCACGACGCCAGACCAGCAATGCGCATACAAGGACGACAACGACAGAGGTGGTGCGACGAGCTCGTTTCCATCGGCTGGACTCGGCTTGGGATTCTAAGCGCCCCGAGATCTATCTGGCGGCGTTGACGGCCGAGGAGGATTTGACGTTTTCGGACCCGTCCACGATGGCGAAGTGCCTCGCGCTATGTTGGGGCAAGGTTTTGGAGAATTCGGCCAATGAGTCTTCGGATACAGATAGCTACGCCCACCTCCTCGCGCAGGTTACCCCGCTCAAGGCTCAGGGCGAGCAGCGCGTGTCAGCCAGTCACCAGCGCGCGGACTGGATTTCAAGTTTCGACTCGATGATGCAGTTCCTGGCGTGGGGAAAAAGACACCGCCTCTGACCCCAGCCGGATCCCCCACTCGGTCTGGCGACTGGCCGCAGTATGTGCTTGCGCTTTCCTGTACGATGCGCGCATGCGTCTGCTGACTTGGCATGGGACCTTGCCTGGCTTCAACTGCTGCAGGTCTGCAATCCCCCCAAGAGGTTACCTCGCCGCCAGCGGGGCCGAAGTGCGCGAGGCTTCGAAGACTAGGATGCTCTCCCTCTCCAACTCCCATGGTAAGATCTCCTCCCCCCTCGACGCCAACCCTCTCAACGCTGTCCGACTGCAAACGTGGGTTCGTTCGTGGCCGCTCGATGGTCGCCAGAGGTCTGGGCGCGGATTCGGCTTTCTCTGGGTGGGCCCACTCTGTCGGGGAGAATCGACGGGCATCTGCCTGCTCGATGTGGACAACGCGATCCCCAGCGTCCAGTTGTTGGGATTTCTTCGCAGTCCCCAGGAACATGAGAATCCCTGAGCGTGTCGTGGCAGCGACTATGGCGCTTGATTTGAATATCTGGACGTTCCTTGGCATTGCTTGCAGCTGCCCCGTTGGCTTCTGGGGCCTCAGGGGCATGAGGCTAGTCTGCCCGCTTTCTCGAATCCCGTTCGCCTTGGTTCTCTTTCCTGCACCGAAAGCGCTGCTGACCCCAGAAAGTTGCCGCGAGTTGGTCCCGTGCGTTTTTGCCGGCGATCTCGGTTTAGTGGCACACGATGTCTACGTTGTGCCTCCGGTTTTTTGTCAGGCAGTCTTAGCAGGCGGAATCGACCACGGGGCTGCTGTGTAACTTGGCCAAGTGCGTCATTGTCATCCCGCGTGTCTTTGACGAGATGGCCGCTCGGGCCGCCTTCCTCGCCGTCAGCCTGGATGGGTCCGCCTTCTCGGTCTCAGAGTGCGGCAACTACATCGGGCTCTTCATAGGATTGGGAGTTGCCAAGAAATCCTGGGGCCCTCCTCTGGCGAAGCTTCGGGATCGCACCCGCATGGTGAAGAGTGTGGGGCTGAGTTTTGATTATTCTGCGGTGGCGCGGAACCGACCAGCGGCCCCTGTCGTCGGCAACGAGGCTCAGCTACTCTAGCCGCCTGAAGAGCATCGGAAGGCGGATAATGAAGCGCAACAACATATGACACGTGCACCCACGCATTTTGACGTGCAGTTGAGGTCCCTTCATTTGGACGTGCAATTGAGGTCCCTGTATATCTCTGTCAGATATGCAATTATTCGTCCGGCTGTCCGCTCAGGTGCCATGGGTTCGTGTCCAGAGCAAACTATGCTATTGTGTCGCAGAAGTGAGGCGACGTTGGCCTGTATCCATAACCCGTTTCATCCAGATTCGGTTCTCAGTCATATGAAAGACGCTCGTGATGCCTATTCTGCCCTCCTCCAATCCCCAGTAAATGTTCTTCCCAAGCTACTTCACTCTCGTGCCGATCGATATCTACTTCGTCGTGGACCTAGCCCTCCAGGCTTAAAACTCATCGGTGACAGATCTGAGAATTGGGCTGGTAGCTTGAATCCCCGAACGGCTGATCTTGGGCTTCTTGGATTTTGACCTGGGAAAAAAGCCCCCCAGTTGTTCTTCGGATTTCGCTGGTTCAGGTTCTGTCGACAACATGGCGGTTAAAGTTCTGTCGAACGCATGGCCCATAACCCGTCGGTTCCGCCAGGGAACCTGCACATGTGTCTGGGGATGCTATGCTGTAGGGGGGGACGCACTGCTTCATTACGTGTCCTGCCCCCTTCTGCGTCGCTGCTTCATCCCCTCTCTTCCTGATCTACCCCCCACTGGTGCGAGGATCTTTTTTGAGGCCATGCTCCCCGAACGATGGGTTATAGAATTCGTCAAATTCGATCGATGGTCCTGCTATTGCTATCGACTTGGCTTGCCAAGCGTTCAACTACTGCCGTGCCATAGTTAGAAAAGGCGCCAGGCACCTTCGAAAGGCAATTGCCGCACAAGGTCGCGTGCCACGCCGGCGCCGAGATGTTTCTTGAGGACTCAAGCGGGCCATCCTTCCTCCTCCTCCTAGTCGAGTGGCGCCGTTCCTCCTCCTCCACCTCCTCCTCCACCTCCTTCTCCTCCTCCTCCTGCCTCGTCCTCCTCCTACTCCAATTCCTCCTCCTCCTCCTCCTCCTCCTCCTCCTCCTCCTCCTCCTCCTCCTCCTCCTCCTCCTCCTCCTCCTCTCTCTTCCTCTTGATCACGCAGTGCCTCCCTATTCCTCCTCCTCCTCCCTCCTCCTCCCAACCCCTGTTCCTTATGAGTGACTCTTCCTCGTCGCACCCCAGACGTGTCGGCGGGGCGGGCCGAGCGTTTCGCCTGAGGTCCTTGACAGCTGATGACCCCTATGCTTTACATTCGCAGCAGGTTTGCGGATGGAGGGCGGATGGTTTTCAAAATGCGGCTCTCGCCTTAGCGCCGTGCTTTCCATCGGTCTCGCGGGTGGAGGGCGGGCGGCTTGCGCAGCATGACTCTCAGCTTAGCGTTGCGCGCGTATGTTTTTCAAGCTCGCAGCAGGTTCACGGACGGAGGGCGTGCGGTTTCACAATGTGGCTCTCGCTTCAGGGCCGCGCGCATTCGTTTTACTAGGTTCCGATCTCTCAAGTGTCGACAGCGAATTGGTTTCAAAAGATGGTTCCCGCTGTAGCGCTGCGCATTTGTTGTTTGGCTGCCGCGGCCGTTTCAAGGATTCGCATGGTTGAAGTCCCCAAAATGGCCCTCTGGCACGATTTCAGATGTCATTACGCAACAGTCACTATGATTCATCGCGTTGAAGTCCCAAGAGCGGTGCTCTGGCACGTTTCACGTAGGATGTTCAGGACGCATTAGTCATGTTGATTCGCAGCACTGAAATCCTAGGATTTGCGTTTCCGCACGAATCAGGATTCTCAAAGGGTTGTCTTCCAATGGGGCTCATCCCGCAATGATAGTTAATTGTTCTAGGGGCCTACGCAGAGGAAGTTGGATGGAAGGTTAATTTCAACATCGTTGATTCGTCTTGGGCGTGCGCTGATCTTCTCCCTCCTGCCCCTCTTCGTCCTCCATCTCAACCTCCTCCTTGTCCTCCCGGTGTGCCTTGCGTCAAGACCTCTGGCTCCCTCTGCGCGGCAGTGCCCGCTCCGCGCGCACGCGTCCATCGCCCCGCTGTGCAGCGAGCTCTGCTCCTGCCAGTCTGCAAGCCCTCTCTCCTCCGCTTTCCCTGTTTTCCGTATCCTCCATTCTACAATTACTCAATATGAATACACTTCTCCCTCTTCCCCTGATGACGGTTTGAAAGTGCTCGACCCCCCCCTCGTATTGTTTTTTTGCACACAGGTTTCCCCGGAGTTGGGTTTTCGCTTGCAGTTTTTTTCAAAATGCTGCTCTCGCTGAGGCGCTGGCCTCATTTTCGGGCCCCGCTCGTTCCGAATCGTGCTCCCGCTGCAGCTCTGGCCTCATTTCCGGGTCCCGCTCGTTTCGACTCGTGCTCCCGCTGCAGCGCTGGCGTCATTTCCCGTGCCATGCCACGGCATGCAATGCAATGCTAGGTTGATACTACGCTTTGCGGTGCTCTTCTACGCCATGCCATGCCGTGCTCTACAATGCATCGCGTACCCTTTCGGGATCACTGCCCTGCTCGACATCCGACTGTGCGAGTAGAGAGGGGATCTACGCCATGGTAAGGGATGGGAGGGAGGGGTAGGATGTCAGATATGACGCGAGCGCACCTAGCTTGCCTCCTCCCCCTCCGCCTTCTCCCCTTCCTGCTCCTCCCCCTCCTCCGCCTTCTCCCCTGCTCCTCCTCCTCCTCCGCCTCCTCCTCCGCCTTCTCCCCCGCCGTGTGCCCAGAGTTGTGTCCGGAACTTTTTTTTGGGGGGGGGCTGAGCGTTCTGCTGCTTCCACCGCCGGTCCGCGGGTGAAGGGCGTGGGTCAGCCCTGGCGTGCGCGGGGCGTGGCGGGCCAGGGGGGGGGGGCCTGCCGTGCCGCAGACGGGGGGAGCGGGTGGGGGCGCTGGACCTGCCCGCCTCGCTGCGCTGCCTCCCTGCATTACAGGACCCGGAGGACCCCTTCGCCCGCATGTTCCTCGCCCTTCTCCTCGCGACGGCACGGGTCCTCGGAGTGCCGGCCGAGCGCGGCTCATGGACGTCGTCTGCCCGTGCAGGTCCTCTTCGCTCTGCAGTCTCTGGGAGGTCTGTGGCCCTGTCCAAACCGCCGTCCTCCAGCGCGCATGCCCGACTCGCAGGTCCTCTCAGCTCTGCAGTCTCTGGGAGCTCTGTGGCCCTGTCCAAACCCCGCCGTCCTCCGGCGCGCATGCCCGACTGGCAAGCTCCGTGTGGCCATCGGCGGAGTGCCGAGCCGTCGATGCCCCGCAGCCGCCTGCGACCGCCGCCGCCGCCGCGGCGGCACCGGCCACGGCCACGGCGGCGACGACGACGACGATGTCGCCGTCGCCGTCGACGCGGTTCTGGCTCGGAGAGGGCTCGCTGTTCCATGGGCGCTCCCCCTTGGCGGTTCCCTTTCACGCTCCGCGCGCACCCAGGCGCCTCTGGGGTCAAGAATGCGGGCAATAGTTATATCCACATCCAGTGCGTCTTGGATTCTTGGGCTCTCTTCCCCAGAAACCGTAGACGCACTGGATATGGCTAAACATCTGGCCCCAAGAGGCTTATTTCTATCCATATCCAGTGCGCCTCGGCGTTGCGGCACCTCTTCCCAAAAAGTCCACAACGCTCTGGATATGGACATAAGTACTGCCCGCAAGGAAGGGACTTCGCTTCTGATGCAGCGTTCCTGGCGGTGGCCGCTCGACCTCCGCGCAGCATCGTCGGCGTCTCGTCGCCCGCTGGGCTGCGGCCTCGCGCTCGGAGGGCGGCGGCCGACGCCCTCGCTGTGCTGACGGGTGCAGGGGGGCCTGGGCCTTCCTGTCGGCGACTACAAGAGGTATGGTTACGCTGGGGCGCTGGGGTGCGGTTTGCGATCGGCACCGTTGGGGCCTGGGGGGCACGACGCTGTCCTCGTCGGGCCTCCCCGCGGCGCGGGAGAACTCAGGAACTCTATCGAGTTCCCCGCGCGCCCCCCAGGGTGCCCCCCAGGATGTGTTCCAGGGTGGCGGTTGCAAGCCACACCCTTTGCAAACCACACCCTTTGGAGTCGCCGGTTCTGGTCTAGAAATGCCTCCTGCTGTTCAGTGAGCATGGGTCGGACAGTGCCAAGGGAGGTCGCCACCGCCTCCGAGAGATCGAAGATCACGGAGGCGGGAGGATCGCAGACCGAGGAGGCTGCGGACGGTTGTGGGTGTCTGCGGGATTGCCCGAGGGCTTCTTGGGGGGTCAGGGAGGTCCGTTGCCTTGAGGAGTTGTCGACCCCCTTGGTGTGAAGTCGGGCATGTCCCTTTACAGGAGGAATTTGTGTTTAAATGGTAAAACAAATAGTCTGGGGACGATGTTCTGCAATGTTTGACTATTGTTGAGCATTTGTTTGCATATTTTTGAGTTTTCTTCCAAAGCCCGCCTGCCCTAACCTTAGTGATGGGCCGGTCCACAGCCGGAGGGGGCCCGCAGGGCTCTGGTTGCCTGGGGGCCCCTCGAGCGTCCCAGGGGCTCACGGGCGGCTCACTGCTGGCAGTCGCTGCTGCCCGCCCCCTCGAGCTGCCGCCAGGCTTCTGTTGCTCCCGTCGTACTTGAGGACCAGATCCCAGAAATAGTTTCGAGCACCCAGACAAGTGTCGAAATAGTGTCGAGCGAGTGTCGCCTCCCAGGGTCCGACACGTGAAAACCCTCAATCTTCGGTACTTTACTGGAGCTCGAAACTCTTTTGGTGATCAAGGCTAAAGTAGGTTGGAACATCATAACGCCAGGCGACTGCATGACTGCCGAAGTGCAGGCATGGCCCGACCTCCCTCAGCCCCTCAATGTCCTTCTCCCTCCTTCCCCGTGGTGCCCATTCATAGTTGTAACACCATTCGGTACGGTGGAGCCTCTCCCCCAAATGCCCCAGCAATGCCCGGCATGCGTTCAAGCTATTGCGCGCAGCTCAGGCTGTCGTCAGCATGTGGATGAGGTCGACACCTGGTGCGCCTCATGTTACTTACGCTCCTCCTCGCCTCCTCTTCCTGCTCCTCCTCCTCCTCCTCCTCCTTCTCCACCTCTGCGTCCTCCTCCCCCTCCGCATCCTCCCACTGTCATTCCACCCAGCATCCCTCCGCCCCGTCCTTCTCAGTCTCCCCCTTCACATCCTCCTCCCGCCGCTCCACCCGCCGCCCTCCCCTCCCTGCCCCCCATCCTCCTCGGGCCGCCCCGTCAAGCATCGCCCCTCCTCTGAATATAGGCTGCAGGTTGAATTCGGGCTCCGGACGGAGCGCGCGCCACGAGCGTGGTGGCGGGGGCCTGTCGCGAGGCCAGATCGGCGGACTGCGCCCGGGGGCGGGGGTGGAAACCGGCAGCTTGCTAGCGAGACCGCTGCGAGTCCCATCGGTCGGAAAGGGCCAGGACGAGGACAAAATCCCTTCGGAGCGTGCCAGAGCGCTCTCGGAGCGTTCCGGAGCGCTCCAAGAAGGCCACGGCGCCCGAGACAGCCTTCAGAAGCGCGGGATCTCAGAGATTCCAGATGTATCCTCACTCGATGTTGCCCTCGTCCTGGCCTCGTTTTCATCGGGGAACATGATGGGCCCATTTTCCACCACCACTACCATAGGTAGGAGAAGGGGGAGGAGGAGGAGGAGGAGGAGGAGGAGGAGGAGGAGGAGGAGGAGGAGGAGGCCCCTGGAGGTCAGGCGTCTGCCCGAGGTGGGGCCACCTGCTTGCTCTTGCGAGCCACTGCCTCCCCCTTGCTTTCCCGCTCGCCATGGTCTCTGCAGCCAGGCTCCACTGGATTATCCAAGGGCTGACAAATGGCACGCAAGGCGTCGTCAAGCTGTGCAGCCACGACGACAACCTCATCGTTCAGATTGGAGTGTTCCCATTCTGGGAGCCGACTATGCGGAACAGCCCCATGATCAGTCTACTCCAGACTGTGAGCTAGGAGCGTCGGCACCGCCATCATCGTGGTCCACGGGCACAGCTCCAAAGGCGAGTCCCGCATCCGCTTTGTCGTGAAGCCCCTTCTGGTTCGCTTCAACGGTCTCTCTTTTGCTCCGCAGGCCATGCGTCCTGCGATGGTCGAAGGCCCCGCCAGACGCACGCCGAGTCCATCGGGACAGTTTTGGCGCGCGAGAAGGGGGAGTCGGTCAGCGAGCAGCTGACTGTTGAAGGTGGTGCGGCTATTTCGTTCTCTGTGGCGATGGAGAGCGAACCTGGCGCCAAGGAAGAGACTCATACTGATGCGGTGAGGCCCCATCGGCGCGAAGAGGCCGATGTTCCTCAGCAGCACTGCGAGAAACATAAATTCCTTCCAGGCATGGCCTCGTGCCTGGTCGGCCTCGAGGCTAGGCCACTGATGCACAGGCGCGAACGCACCCTGAGTTTTCTACGACGACGCTGCTGACCGCTGGGCCTTCAAAAGCGGTGTTAGAGTCACTCGCGTCAAAGAATCCTGCCTTGAACCAATCGGTTGCCGCGCGGAAAATATCTTGGCGTTGCATTCCAGGCGGCCGCTTCCTAGCGCCAACATCGGGACTCAGTTGCTAACGGCCAGGTGTTCCAACTGTTGTACAACCTTGCTGCTCGAGCTCCCTGCCTATATACAGGGACGAGACCGCCTTCGACCAGGTGTACTGCCGCGTGGCCGCTAGGAGCCCTGAAAACGTGCACCCGTGAGTCCCTCAGCAGCGTTTTTGCTGCTGTCTCGACTCGCTGTGCCCCCATGCATCCTGGGGTTGCGTGGAGGAAGACTGACGTTGCCAATGTGCATGGCTAGAGTCTGACGTTGCCGATGCGCCATCCCCTTCTGCGCCCCACGTCTGTTGGGTTGCGCTTCCCAGCAAGGCTGCATGCGCCCCCGCCATTGTTAGCGTCGCGCCTCCCGTCTGGGTTTCTTGTTTCACGTGCTACGCGATCCTTCGGGCGAGTGCTTTGTATCCAGTTCCTGCGGGCGAGTATTGGCTGCGACTCCTCTGCGCGATGTGGTCACCGCAGACATTCGTCTTCAGGGCCGTCGTCGTCCGAGGAGGAGGAGGGGGACCTCCGCGCCCATCTGTTCAAAATCCTACATCTGGGAGCGGCGGTGGAAAAATCGCCCATCAGAAAAGATACACCATGGGCAGGAACTTTTGGGGCTCCGCGCGGATGTCTTGGGCCGGCGCCGGGCCCGCGCCAATGGCGCTCTCCCCGCGCCTTTGCCGATTCGAGGCGCCTTCGCGGAGCTCCGACAGTCCAGGGCGCCAGAACTCACAGCGAGCGCGCTCCTATGCATAGTTTTCTCGATCGGCGCGGGCCCTCGCGCCCTCCATTGCCCCCTCCTAGGGAGCATCCGGGGCGGAAAAGAGGGGGGTGATGATTAGGGGGGTGGATCTCATGGCGGGGGCCATGATATTTCCGCAGATTTCACGGCGCCTTTTCTTATTTCATTACGTCCCTGGGCCCCCCGCTGGGCCGCGCACGTGCCGCCGGTCATGATTTGCACCCCCCCTCTTGGCCCCCCCCCTTTTGGCCGCTCCCGAGAGTAGATCTTGGGTATTTGGGCGTTTGTCGCAAGCAGGCGAATTGTCCCCCACAGGACGCACTGTTGCTTCCAGTGGCGCAGCGCAGAGGTCCAGAGCCAGACCCCCCCCCCTCCCGCCCCCTTTCCGCCCAATGCTGAAAAGCCGAATGAAATAACGTTCGCGTAGTAAGGTCGCGCGGATGTTTTTATGGTGCCCTGAGTTCCTTGGGTTTCGATGGTTTTGCTGTGGAATGCGTGACGTTCCCACGCCGAGAATCCATGGACGTCCTCGGGTTTCAGGGTGTGGTTTCATGTGGACGTTATTTTTCTGTGGTCGGGCCCCTGTTGTACTCCGTGAGCGGCGACAGCCTCGACAACTGGCTTGGCCGGCGTCGCCCTCCTCGGCGCCATGATGCCGGGCCCTGTGCCGCGCGACCTGGGCCCCAGAGTCCCAGGAAGGAAGAACGCACAGACACATTGCCAGTCAATCGCCGCGAATCGGCGGCGATCGAGGGGGAAAACTGAGAGGGGAAAGGCCTCCTCAGAAAGTGGCGAGGCTTCTCAGAAACCCTCGCGTCTTCTGAGATGCTTGTGGTGCCTCCGGGGAACGCTCGGGAAGCTTTTCGGAAGCCTTTGCAAATGTGGCTAGGTGGTCTCCGCGTCGATGCCTGTGGGAGTCTGTGGGCAAGGCTCCTGGAAGGCTGCGGGAGGCAGATGGATTCTTGGAGCCGCTGCGGGGCATTGTCGTTGTCTCATGACGGCCGCTGGGGGGGGGGCGTCAGTTGTAGCGTTCGCTGAAGGAATGAAGCGGGTCAGAAGACGCGCGTGTGCACATGAGGTGCTCTTGGGACGTTGCTTGAGGGCATCTTGGAGGGCTCATTGTGGCACCTGGGGGGGGGCTTCTCGGGGGCCGCGCGGGGGTCTTTCGTGTGTTTTTTGGAGGCCTCTTGGCGCCTCTTGGGGGCGCCTCGGGGACCTCTAGGGGGCTTGGCGTCATCTTGGGGGTGAGAGGTTCGAATTCTCAGTTCGTCTTCGCCCTTTTTGGCCCCTCTTTGGGCCCAAGAGGGCCTCTCTGAGGCCGTCTTGAGCCGTCTTGAGCCGTCATGGGGCTCTCTTTGGGGCCGCATGGCTTGTCTTGGGACGGTCTTGGGGGCCCTTTGTGGCAGCGACGGACGCTGCCAAAACGAAAAAGGCGAGTATGCTAAACAGGTAGGTTAAACAATAAATGGAGTGAGGCAATGTTTGCTGATAAGGGCAATTCTCGACGCGCGGCGCGATGACCAAGCACGGCGCGGCACGACACGAGTTGCACGTGCTGAGAACCAGGCTCGGCACGGCACGAAACGGCGCGGCACGGCGGCCGACGGCGACCGCTTGTGACGACAGGTTGCAAGGAGACGACAAAGCTCCGCTTCGGCGGAGCCGAAGTCGAAGTCGGGAATGCCGCGGGATGGTTATTTCGAACCTGAAAAGACAGTGGGATCATTGAGCACGGAATCTGGGATGCGCTTGGATACTTTTTTAACGTTAAACACCCGCCCGATGGGGTAACTTCGGTCCGGGGTCCAAAGTATTTGGTTGTTTCATGACCAAGGCCCTAGGGTCGAATTACCCCGCCGCTGACAGGGGCCCGAACAAGCTCTTCTTGATACGAGTCTATTGGGAGAAAGCGGGGCTGATGCACTTTTGGCAATTCCGCGGCCCTTTAGAATCTCAGACGCGCTTTTGCCCCGCCGCTGTAGGCCACCAGGGCAAGAAGGATGACGTCGCAATTATGAAGGCACCACGAGGTACCGTCCACAGAGTACCACGAATAGAGCACCGAGAAACTCGAGAGAACCGCGAAACCGCAAACTCTCAACAGACACGCATGCAATCATGCAGGATTTGGGACGCCGGAAGCAAACAGTACCACTGCAACCTGGATGAATACGCAGCAAAAAGAGCGGGCCCAGCGCGAGCGCGATATGTATTCTACTCAAATGTATATACACGCGTGCGCCAGGCGTAGCGCGAAGCGAGAAGTCTGGCGTCGGAGGGTACCATCAATACTTCCTGTGCAATCCAGCAAGCCAGCACGGCGTGCGCACCGATCCTGGGCCAAGGGTGGGCCTGGCCAGGGTCGGTGCCTTTGCATAGCTCATGACCTCCAAAGGTGAGGCGTTTTCGACCCCCACGTTTCGGTTGCCCGCTGCCCCCGTCGTGATCCGCTGGGGATGGGGCATCGCGCCGCCTCGCTGGGAGGAGAAGGCACGACGGCCGCCGACGCGCGTGGACAAAAAAGAGGCCGAAGGGCGCCTCGATCCGCCAGGGGGCGGCGCGGGGGGCAAGCGAGGGCGCAGGTGGATGAGAGGATGGGAAACCAGGTGCGCCCGCGCCATATGCGACATCCTATCCCTCCCACCGATCCCTTACTGCAGTGGGCTGATGTTCTACATCCGCCGGCGAGTGTCGCAACGCACCGTGGACCCCCAGCATGACCCCGCTGCGTCATGCGCAATCACGAAGGGAAAGTCGCGTGCATTTTCAGGAGAAGGTGGCGGATGAACAGGAGGAAGAGGAGGAGGAAGAGGAGAATGAGAACGAAGGAGGACCAGGAGGAACGGCAGAAGCAGGAGCAGGAGTGGGAGAAATTGGAGGAGCAGGATGTCGAGGGGAGGGGGGAGGAGGGGAACTGAGCGGGGCGACAACGATGAGGAGACGCTCGTGAACAGAAAATGAGGGCGAGAGTTCTATTCTGAACCATGGGAGGAAAGTGCCGATCCTAACGTAAGGCCAACGTTGCAGCGGCAACAGTAGTCTGAGACACCTAGCCATGGCAAGTAACAGCAGAAAAAGTAAGCGGAGGGGGGCGGGTCACTCCCGGGCCATTTTCGGGAGAGAGCGAGGATACTAGTACTCATATCAAGCTAGGTGCGCTTGCGCAGCACCAGACATCCTATCCATCTGCATTTTTCTAATTGCGCTGATGTTTGCTGTAACCTTGAACGCGTGTCTTATGCGCACCTGGAAACAGGGGAGCTGCGCACATAGGAGGAGGAGGGGGAGGAGGAGGAGGAGGAGGAGGAGGAGGAGGAGGAGGAGGAGGAGGAGGAGGAGGAGGAGGAGGGGGAGGAGGAGGTGGAGGAGGAGGAGGAGGAGGAGGAGGAGGTGGCTTGTGAGCAGGAGGAGGAGGAGGAGGAGGAGGAGGAGGAGGATTTGGAAGGAGGAGGACGAGGAGGAACGACAACAGCAGGAACTGGAGTGCAAGGGGCAGGAGGAGCAGAATGACGAGGGGAAGGCGGAGGAGGGATATCGAGGGGTGCGATAACGATGACAAGCGACTTGGATCCAGAAAGGTGGCCCGCGCTGGGGCCAAGGCGCCATTCTCAACGATGGGAGCAAAGCGCCAATCCTGACGTGAGGCCCACGCTGCGGGGACGCCTGCGCCCCCTGGGGGCCTCTGGGGACCGCCAGAGGTTGCAGGTGCGCAATTCAAGACCGAAACAGGCAGACCTGCGTCAGAGGGAGGAGAAGCGACACCACCACCACCACCACCACCACCACCACCACCACCACCACCACCACCACAAGGGGGGCCACCTCCAGCGCGCAGGCTGACGAGCTCAGCTGTTCTTGAGAACGCGGGGGGCGTGTTTGTCCTTCTTCAACTTTTCGCGCTACGGTTGACCCAGAACGGTTGACCCAGACATCTAAAATGGCAGCCCAAAACATAACAACAACCACACTCGTTGGGACCAACACGAGCGACAAACGGCAACCCAAACCAGAACAAGAACAACGGCAACCCAACACAGAAAACAAGTGACAGGCATTGGAAACATAAATCACCAACATCATCGGAAACAAGTGACAGACAGCACAGAACAACAGAAGCGAAAAGGGCGAGGCGGCGATCCCAACACAGAGAAAAAAACGGCTCCCAAAAATTAGGATACACGTCGATCTTGAAAAACAAACAGCTATATTAGGAACATCCTAGCCCACGAGGCCTCCCCGAGCTGGTGATAGAGGTTGTCTCGAGAGAAGAAGAGGTGGGCCCAGCACCAGGGGAGAACCCCGTGGCTCCTCCCACTGGTGATCCCTCGTGTTGTTAGTGTCGCTGTTCCGTGTTCCTACTACGGCTCAGTCGGGCATGTCCTTCCACAGGAGGAGTATTCCAAATTTATGAGAATACTATGGGAAAAAAGTGCGGGGAGGATTGTTCGATTATTTGGCTACTTCTGAATACGTTTAGACTCTTTTGAATACTTCTTCCCAAACCCGCCTGTAGGAGGACATGCCTGACCTAAAACTACGGCAGGTTCACGTGGCGATGGCGCGCCAGCGACGTTGGCGGAGGCGTTCAAGGTTGACTCCCGCATGGCAGAACGACGCGGACGCACTGAGGGGCACGTCGTCGTCAAGGTTCGAGCGCATTCCAAGAAGTCAGACGCAGCACAATTCGATGGACTCGACCTGTGCCACTATCTAGGGAATCAGGCCGCCGACCTCCAGGCCAAAGCAGGTGCGAGGTTGCTCCAGGTTCCTCAGCATGCCACAGATACTTGGTGGCCAGATCCAAGGATGTCTCTTCCATGCTCGGTTTGGTCGGTGGTATGACGTGCGGCATGGGCACCTTTGATGATACCACTGGCCGTGCCCAGAATGCTTCTCGCCCCCCCCGAGTCTCGGCACCCGCGCAAGTGGCATCCAGGCTCCTGGAAAGATATTCATTGTGCAATGCGGGCCCACAGTGACAAAGCGAAGGCTGTGCTGTCCCGCAAGTGTTGCCGTCGGGCATTCTCCCCACATGGTGGATGGAGGGAGAAGGCTCGTGCCGATGGGGTTCCTACCGAAGGGCCGACGCGACATAAGGTGTCCCGGGTTGGCCACTACACTTTCTGCAGGGGGTGTGGAGCTTTTTCAAGTGCTCATGCGTGTGGCTTGCTCCCGGCGTGTCCGAAGGAGCCGAGTGGGCACAGTGCGAAGGCCAGCCAAAACCGTTTGGCGGGCAAACACCCTCTGAAGAACGAACGACTGCCCGGGGAAATGGTGGCTTTGTCTATGGCCGAGGAATTGCAACTCCTTGAGTCCATCGGCATTGCTGCCCTCCCCTCAGCTTGTGGCCTTCAGGCGGAGGAGGAGGTGGCTGTCAGTCGTCCGTCGCGAGGAGCGGGGGGGGGGGGCCGGGCGGGAGCGGAGGATCTCGGGCGTCGCTGACCAGAGCCAGCACGCACCATCCCTCACCGCAGAGACACCGACTCTGATTAGACATTTAGGAGCCTGCTCCATATTTGTCTGGGTGGATGGTGCGATCGTGTTTCGGGTCTTGTGCTGGGGTTGCCCCGAGACAGTACCCGCCCCGCCCTGCCCTGGTGGTGTCAGGCATCACTTCACCTTTAGTTTGTTCTCGCGCGCAGCTGGCCAGAGCCAGCGCGCAGCATCCCTCACCGCGGAAACAGCGGCACTGATCTGAACATTTAGGCGCCTGCTCCATTTTTGTCTGGGTGGATGGTGGAGTCGCGGGTCGGGTCCCGTGCAGGTGTTGCCCCGAGGCAGCGCCCGCCCCGCCCTGCCTTGGTGGTGCCAGGCAGGACTTCACCCATTGTTTTCCTCGCGCCCCCCTCACAGGACTTAACCATTGCCCAGCCTGCTGGCTGCGCCGACGACGACTGGCCGCGCTGACCTCGGCGCCAAGCTTGTGGCGAGAAGGGCGCGATGCGGGCTGCGCCTCTGCCCCGTAGGCCCCGGGCAGGGCGCTCGCCTCCCCGCCCCCCTGGGCGTGCCGGGCCGTGCCTGGCGAAACTCTCGGGCCAGGGCTCGGGCATCGCCGGGCCGTGCCTGACGAAATTCTCTTGGACGCCCTCTTGTTTTGAGGGAGGGCGGCTCTGTGCGCACCGTCCACGCCCTGTTGGGCGACGTCGGCAGCATCAGTGGACTGCCGCGTCTGGCGAGCATCGTCGGACGTCCTCTTGTTGCAGGGAGGGCACTCACAGTGCGTGCCCTTCATCGAGCCCTCAGCCCTCTTTCACCGCTGGAAGCGGTGCGGAGGGTGACTAATGAGGGGGTCCGCAGGTTGTCGCGAAGCACTCGCCCAGCCTGTGAGCGCCCGTAGCCATTTTGGCTCAAGACGGAGTTTACCTCCCGTCCCGACTCCAGAGGCTCGAGGCTGAGGTGGAAGGGCAGCCCCTTCCATTGGCCTGGCTGCCTCAGCTAGCTTTCAGTGAGCACCTGGCGGTGCAATCCTTCGACCCTCGGCGCTCCGAGGGACACGGTCGCGGGCACAGCGGTGCGGCGGCCTTCATGGATGGTGCAGATGTGGTCCGCGGCCCCAAGACCCCGTTCTGGGGCTGCCAGAGTTGCGGGCTCACCAGCAACTGGGCGTGCAGGCTGCGGTGCCGCTGCGGGGCGAAGGCCCCCACGTTCGTGCTGCAGCGCGCCAAGGCCTTTGGCAACGGTGGCGGGAGCCCTGCTCGGATGGATCCTGGGCGCAGCCGTCAACCTGCCGCAGGGTCAAGGCGCGAGGCCAAACTGGAGTCCCAGCTGGCCGAGATGCAGAAGAAGCTGGACCAGTTCATCGGTGGAGGCGCCAAGTCTGCCCGAGCCCCTCCCCTTGGACAGGGACCTGGTCAGCATGGTGGCGCGCAGTCCAATGGAGGAGGCGGTGGTGACGGACAGGATCCACTACAGGCACGTGTACTCGAGCTCGAGTGTGCGATCAAGGCCTGTGGCAAAGGTGACGACACAACCGAGGCACGGACGCTCCTGGAGAACAAGCTCAGGGCGGTGCGTGCGGAGATCGAGAGCAAGAAGCCGAGCATCACGCAACGCACCAATGTGGGGCATCGATTGGCTCGGGCTACGACGAAGTTGGAGAAGGTCACGACAGAGCTTGAGGAGCATAACAAGTTGCTCGACGAGCTCAATGCCAAGACGGACGAGATCAAGGCGCGCAAGGTCGCAGCGGAGGCTGAGGTGGCTGAACTGCAACGGCAGCATGTGCAGTCACTTCCTGGTCAAGCTGCTAACGGTGGTTACAGGCGGCCTGTTGATCTGTCTCTCCCTCCTGAGGCCCTGGAAGGCAAAGACGCGATCAAGTCGATGCTCGAGACGGCCGAGTTCAAGGAGTTCGTTAAGTTGTTCGCGGTGCATCGTGCCGCTGCTGATCCTGGCGCTGATGCATCTGAGTCCCACGCCAACGGTGCTGAGCATGTGCCCACGCCACACGACGCGGAGATGGATGATGCCTTCCAAGACGAAGCAGCTGCCGAAGCTTTCTGGGAGAAGCACCGTGGCGA